AAACAAACCCGAACAATATTCGCTACAACAACTATGATGATTTTTTCGACAACAATCAACTTTCACGACACGTGCACACCTTCTTATAGAAAAGTATTTCTCGACTTGCAAAGAAGATAGACTTGGGAATCTTAGAAAGAAAAGTTACCTAAAGCATAAAAAAGTTAAAGCGCTCTCGGCTGGTTCAAAATTTTAAAGAGTACCCTTGTTACCATAAAATGAAAGCCCATGGATAAAATTTATACATACAATTTGGACAGAAATACTTCTACAAAATAAATATAACAGCTCTACCAATTGTTTTAGGCCATCTGTAGTCAAATTCAAAAGAAAAGTTCAAATCCATCAAGGAAGATGACTGTGCTGGAAAACATCCGGACAAACCAGCGAGACTTTTCGTATTTATGTTTGAGCATATATATACAAACAATTTATCACTTCAATTAAATGAAAGCCAGAGAGTTATGTTGCTAAAATGTAATTCTCCAAAAAGTATTCCGAAGACCTTGTTGCTAGACCGAATTCATATAAATAACAAGGGCACTGGTTCTGGTTTTACACAATAATTATTACACTAATACGAGAAAAATTTATTCGCACTTCAGTAAATTGTCAAGCAATGCGGATGACTTCACAATTGCCATTTTTTTCAATGTTTCTACGATATCCTTATGCTTACAAAGCGACAAAATGCATTCCCTGTTCTGTACCCGCTTAACAATATATTCCAGAACAACACAACATTGTTGGGCAAACGTACGCCGTTGTGACATATCATTTTCAGCCAGAAGTGAACCAACAACCACAAAGAGAGCAGTGAAATCAGTGTGGGATGCACATCTAAAACATTTAAGCGTAAAATATATTAGTGAAATAGATAATGGTTTAAATGTTATGTTAGATAATCTCAAATTTGTTGCCGGTAACGAAAATTTGTTGCTCTCTGCATTTTTCCCTGCTGATGTTTAACACCGCTTCCACAGAAAATGAATCAGAATCGCATGTGTAATTGCGTGGTAAACTGATGATATATTTGCCCTTTTTAGAAAATTGTGAAATACAATTTTTCGAGCGATTATACCTGTATTTAACAGTTATTTCATCTTCATGCTTGTGATTCTAAAGCATGAGCAGAAATTCATTATAACTCACCTCTCTATGAAATACGGCAACTCGATAATAAGTGCTTGCTTCACTTTCCAAAATGTATTCGATTTCAACAAAGCGACTGCCTGCTCTACACGATGAAACAATTCGGCTAAAGCAATATAGCGTGAATTTAGCAACAGAAAAACTGGCAAATGTGAAGAAATGTTTCGCGATATGTCACCTCTAATTAGGTCACAGAAAACTCTCTAAGATAAAATTCAGGAGCGAGGTAAAGTTAAAGATAGGAGAAGCTAAGTACAAATCGTTTCCTGATGATTTACAATTTCTGTCGATCTGAACTCCCATCCATCCACTTTTAATAGCATAAATTCAGCAGTAAAAGTTACAAACGTGTTCCTTATGTGTGTCACTAAGGTAAAAATTGACACTCTTTCCACCATGAAAACTGTGTGTAATTCTTTTCAGTTTTACTTATAATACATCAAATCAAAGGAAAAAAATTTGATTCCAATTTAGACTATAGGAATGTTCTGACCAAAGGTGTCAAAGACTGAAAAATTACCCTATTTCATGGACTAAAGAAAATTATTTTCCGGACCAAGAAAGGAATCGCTTGACTGCAGATTTCGGGTCTCAACTTAATTGGAAAATAATGTGGCGCAATGTGGCAGTCTACTAAAAAGCAAAAGAACATTTGAGATGTAAGCAATGAGTAAAATAGAATATCTAAATTTCCAGAAAGCAATGAATGAAGACAATTGCCCGGTGTAGTAGATGAAATCAGTGCTTCCAAGATTATCATTTGTTTAAAAATTTCACCTCTCTGTCAATGTGATCGGTTCGTGGGATATCGAATGATTGAACAATCAAACTTTAACCCGATAATGGCAAAAAGAGAAATTAGACGTGATGCAACAAATACCAAAGAAAGCATGGAATAACTTAATTAGAGCATTTACCCAAGTCCAAAAAAAATCTGAATGCAAAGCTTCAGATTCTAAGTTTTTGAATAAAATTGTAGTCAATTGTGAAATATCAATAAAAAATTTGCAGCATTTTAGGCCTCAAATAAGAAACAGAAAAACTGCAATCTTTGCACCCCCAGCTTTTCACAGATGTAAGAAACTTCTGCTACCAATATGCAAACAAATCGTAGCTCGATATAAATTAGTATGGAGTAAAACTGTTGCATATGAAAGTAAGCTTCGCGATAGTTAGGGTTTGAAGCTTACTATATAGGTCATAAGTAGTACTGGAAAAAATGTAATTTGTGGTCTGAAAAAGCTTCGTCAGTGGACACAGAACAAACCTCCATCAACAGACAACAACAAATGAGCAACTGCTGGAGCAATCTTCGTCAGATAATCATAACTTTTTAGATCACTTGCACTGCTTACTTCACAGGTAATATTATCGGAATTTAGCCTGAACATATCATAAATTGCAATTTCAAAAATCTAACGTGAAATTAATGATCTATCATGGTCTTCAAAAATGATTACAGTAGAAAAATTGTTTCCTTCTAAATCCGATTTTCACTATTTCCTTGCACTGATTTTTCTTTCTTTTTCTTTTTTTGTGCAAAAAGTTAAAATAGAACGTAAAATCCGTACCCTGAATGACTACTCATGATATTACAAATATACGACATCACTTGCTGAGCGATTTTACTACAACCATTCACTTCACAAAATGTTGCAGCACACAGAATTGCTTCACCACTATATTTCTCATTTTTTTCGAACATTGTTCCCATAAAGGTGAAAATTTCTACAAAAAAACTTTTTTCATTATCAGAAGAGCAAGTATTAAGCATAATCCTGGATCACATGCTCCAATGATCGCCAACATTACAGCATGTTCTCTGCAATGAAGTCAATCACAACTTATAAAAAGTCTATTATATATATATGTATACGTACAAGTACACGATGAGCATCGACAT